CAACCGGCGCCCTACGGAAGCCCGGAAGCAGCGAAGTGAGGGGAGAACGACTCCCACGTGTGCAGGACACGTGACGACTAGCGCCGGCATCGCCACCCTCTTACCTTCATATCCCTGCGCGCCCTCAGGGGGCGCCATCCGCCCGGAAGTGGGGTGACCAGCAAGGTATTCGCCGCCTGTCCCTCAGGCCTGAGCATGACGCCGACAGCGGCGGGGCGGGAACGGGGGGAGGGGCTCCCCCAGATCCAAGGGGGTTGGGGTTGGACATCTACGTGGCGCTGTCTCCGTTGTAAAGAGGTGGCCGAGGGGACAGGGAAGGGGACACGGGGCAGCCAGACCCTGCAGAGGAGCCGTGTGTCCTGCTTTGCCTAAGTGCCTGCCTGCTCCTGGTGCCTGGGGGGGCTAAGACACCTTCTTTTCATAGGCTCCAGCTGCACATATTGGAGCCCAGGAAACGGGGATCCCCTCTTGGACAAATTCTCACTGGCCCTGTGCATGGGGGAAGCCGACCAGCCGTAACTATTCCAGGATAATTATGTTGTAATTTAGCTATTCCAGAATAGTTGTGCTTTTTCCCTGGGCAGACAAACCTGGTGGGTAGCCTGTCCGCCCCTGGGGGACTGGGCACGGTGCCTCACCCCAGAATCTAACCCTGGCTATAGTGTCTCTTGGCCGGGCGTTATGGCTCAGCGGCTTAGTCTATCACAGTGTTTCTCAACCAGTGGTGCCTGTATCCTTAGAGGTATGCAAGAGAAGTCTGGGGGGGTACCTCAACACAAGTGAAATTTGGCAAAAAATGTCTGGGATTTTGCCCTGCAAAGGTGATCAGGGAGGGGACAGCAGCATGTGCCTGTCAAATTGAATGTTCAGAGCTGCACATCCAGACGTTAACATCCACTCTGCGCACATGCCCCAGTGCCTGATGAGAAAAGCATGTGGCTGCAGAGGCAGAGGCAGCAGCTCTGGGGAGAACCAGGGCAGTTCTAAATTGCAGGGTGGGTTTGGGCGGGGTGGAAAAAAAAAAGCGCCCAAAGTAGGAATAAGAGCCTCCGGAAAAGGGCGCTTTTTCCGGAGGATCGGGGCCAGTGTAGACGCTCTTTTCCGGCTTTTTTAAAAGCCGGAAAAAAGCGGCGGACATTTTTATTTAAATGCTGCGGGGGATATTTAAATCCCCCGCAGATTTCCCTACTACGATAGGTGAAATTTACATGCCCCTTCCGGAAAAGGGGCCAGTATAGACGAGCCCAAGGTGACTTACATACACCTAAATTGGTAGTTAAACCAGGCCTCAGCATATTGGGTTGACTAACAAGCGGCACTGAGATAAAAACTATCTGTGCCTTCTCTCTACTAGGATATTACATTAATAGCTATCTCAATATTAAACAAATTACCTTTTTGAAGTGAGGATCTGACTTTAGGTTTGGTCTACACTTAAAAATTAGTTGACAAAGCTGCATTGTTTAGGAGTGTGAAAAACACACACCTGCCTGACAGTGACTTAACCCCAGTGCAGATGCAGCTGTGTCGATGTAGCTATTGGAAGTTGGGGAGGTGGTGTTCCTACACATCTTTTGTTGGTGTAGCTATGTGGTGCTGTGCATATGGTGCTATAGAAGTGTACAGACTACAGCAATGGAAGAGGTTTTTCCATTACTGTAGGATCTCCAGGGTTGCTGTATTATCAGACAGATAATGTGTGGATTTTTCTACCCTCTGGGTACATCTAGACTGTGAGGATTTATTGGAAAAAGCTATGCAAAATGTGCTCCACACATTATCTTTTTCCGATACTTTTGTCGGAAGAGGCTTTCTGAAATTTGGCCCATCTAGACTGTGCCAGATTTCAGGAAAAAACCCTCTTTCGAAAGCCCCCCTATTCCTCATGGAACAAGAAATACAGGGACTTCCGAAAAAGCACATTTGCTCTTCTGCAAAAAATAAATAAAAAAAAAAAATGTGGAGGAGCAAACACGTTCCCTGGATTCGGCGGAGTTTTTTCAGGATACCTCTGGTATCCCAATAACCCCCCGCAGTCTAGCTGTACCCTCTGAGATCAGTAGCTGTATCAACCTAAGTTTTAAGTGTAGATCAGGCCTTAGAAATTAACCCATGATCTTTACCAACGCCTGATTCAATAACTATACAATATGAATTTATTATATAAATGTATCTCAATGGAGTGTTTGCAGTTCAAAGAGATTGCCTTATTGAGATGAATACAACTTAATATAAAAGCTCTAAAGTATATGAATTGTTCCAGTCAGCTCAAAAGGATATTAAGTACCATAGTAAAGTCTCTAGTTGTAATTTGCCTCTCCTTAAATTCCAAGGAAGTCTACAAAGATTTTAATGTAAAAAGAATAAGTCTTGCATTTAAAATGTATGTTGGCATAGCTATGTCCTCTCATATTATGCTGCATGTGTATTTTATGTGCCTTTTAATTATTGCCTAATTAAAATATATTGACTTAAATTGATCATTGATAAAATCAAAACATTAAAAATAATAAATTACTGAAGATTTCTTGGCTTCCATTGCGTGACCATTGAAATCATTGTGTATCCTATCTTTGACTTTAATGGAAACCGGATCAGGCTCTTAAATCAGAGGACAAAAACCTCACACACTTATTCACTTCCACATTTACACCCATAACTATAAACTGACTGTAGAGCTAGACCAAAAATCACCCCAAAACATCTTGTACAGTTAAAATGATTCTGTTAAAAGTTTGGTACAATTAATTTTGTATAGTGTTCATTAATATTTGTAAAGCAGTTTTAATATCATATTATTATGGTTATTTGGAAACTCTATTTCCTTGAAGTTTGTCTTATAAAGCAAGTGCCCCACTTATTCAGATCTTATTTGAAGGCTTGTCTAGAGGGGAAGTTGAATGGCAACTGGTACAAGAAGTCCCCAACTTACAAATGGGTCATGTTCCAAAATTTTGTTTGTAAGTCAGTTATTTGGAACTTGGAATGCATTTTCCCTTAGGCCATGTCTACACTAGGTGATTAGTCTGAATTTACTAGGTTTGACTTCTTTGCACCCAATTTTACAGATTCAAAGTTCTGTGTTCTCACTACACGGAAGAACCAAATGTAGTCTGAGGCAGGCTTCATTAATGTGGACATGCTACCTCAGAATCAATGTCACAGGAAGGACTCTAGGGAACTGCGAGAAACCTCACAGAGGCCAATAAGTTTGATTTAGCAGCACTGGAGCATCCACACTAATGTCATTTCAAACTTACAGGTTTGGGAATAGCATTACTCTTCATGAAAAGCAGGACTGCAGAGTTTGAATTCCACGGCCTTGTATTCTGAAATAAAAGACTCGGTAGTGTGGATGCATCACTTACAAATTTGACAAATTCGGGCTAATTTCGGACTCAGGTACTAGTGTAGACCAGGCCATAGATACAATGTTATTAGAGTCCCAGGGTAGCCTACAAAAGCCTTTTTAACCCATAATGTAGCTGAAATACTATATATTCTGTATATACTTTTATTCTAGAATAGGATATCCCCACGAGGGATTTTTATTGTCGTAGCTATAAAAGCTCTAAAATATATGAAATTCATACTCTGCTAAATAAGTGCTGATCAATTTCCCTGTACAAAGTCCTTCAGTAGCTTTGTCTGTGCAACAAGTCAAATGGAAAGTTTGCATTTCAGTACCAAATCTAATATTGAAGCACAATAGCTTATTTTTGAAACAGAGTATCAAAGAATGAGAAGTAAGACATGGAATTGATGTTCTAAGTTTTCTAGCTCATCCCCTGGCCTTTGCAAAATAATTCCACATAGTGTTCAGTATTTTCTAGGTCTTTGCTCATTCCATTTTTAAATGACCCACAAAATTGTTTTTCCACCATGTCCCTTGGAAAGACATACTGTATATCTGGTTTATTTTGTACATTTGTTAACTAGCATCAGTTCTTTGACTGATAACCATGTGCCATCCTGACTAATTCATCTTACTATGGCAACAACAACAAAAAGATAGGTGCATTTCTAATTCACAGTTGGAAGAAACACAATTAGTAGTATGAGGGATTTATGAAAAGGTAAAGTATTTGGATATTTACTATATTTAATGCCATTAAAAACAGCAACTGAAATATGGTGTGATGGTTTTATTCACTGAATTAGAATACAAACAGGAAAACCAATCAAATAACTTGTGAAAACAAAAAGGAATAATAAAACCAAAGATTAATTAGAATGTATTAATCACCCTTGTTATTGTTGTTCTAAAACCCAATTCATTTTTTGCTTGTTTAGATAGCTAACTGAATTATACAGCGCTGGAATTCAGTCTAATTGCTTCATGAGTTGTTTTTGAATGTGATAATCTTCACTACAGCTTTTTCAATTGATTTGTAATCTCACTATGATAGAATTCTTGTCCCTCAAAAATCAAAAATTTGGATTTAGAAAAAAAATCATTGCAAAATGAGTTAACATTAGTTGTTCCTATATTTGAAGATACAAAATTAGTATGAATAATCATGATAATGCTCTAAGTGTCAATTTTTTATTGTCCAATAAGCTTTATGACATTGCAACTCATCTAACAGACCTTTTACTCTGTAAACCTCTAAAATACATTCCTGGACCCATGCAAATTCTTACTATATAAAGTACAAGCTCCTTAGCAAATAAATCAAAATTACTTTGAAAAATTACTTAACTGAAATTTTATTTTAAATTTTAACTAAACTTTACACATTACTGATTTTTTTTTATGGTGAGACATATAATCCCAATCTTCTTGCAGCTTCTGAGATCCTGGGTGTCTTTTTCTGAGGAAAAGGGTAATAGCTTAATTTGCTGGATATTGGTACAAATTTTCTGGATGAAACCTGTTGGTGTGTCCAAATTCCTGAGGAGACTGACCTCAGAGGAGACTTCTGGCAGATGCCTGAAATGGAGTTGCTCTTTTCTTCAGTGGGACTGTTTAACATACTTGAATTTTCCAGTTCATTGAGTGATACTGTGGGTTGTTCCCTTGCTGCTAGTGGTTTTTCATAAGGCAGCATGACGTTTTCTTTCACAGTCAGTCTTTCATTGTCAAAGCTAATCTGTTTGTTTTTGAAGTGGGCAAGATCACATGGAGCCTTCTGACAATCAGTTTGCAGTAGGCGGTGGATTCCCAGGTGAGTACGCCATAGTGAACTGTCTTGTACATTGTCATTATAAGTTAATTCCAGGGTGATCTTTCTGACAGGAATGTGTTCTTTAAATTCTTTTGGTTTCCTTATTTTCTTATTGAGTAAAATTGCATTGACCGTTGATTCCTCATGAACAGGATGATTCTCGCCTGTGAAGAAAATGTTTATTTCTACATTATTACATTAGCAAAAATTAACAATCCAACTGCATGGTATAAACTCAACTGTAGAGGCTATAAGGAGTCAATGTGTCTAAACTTTTTTTCTGTGTCTGATTGAAGCAGTGGTTCCCAAACTTTTTGGCTTCATGCCCCGTTTTTTATTTTTGAGAAACCCTCACGCCCCCCACCCCATCCTCCCAATAGCATCAAAACTTGTTGAGAAAAAAAAGGAACTGAATGGGTCAGAAAAACAAAAATAGCAGCAACACTTGGGGGGGGGGGAGGTTGATGGGGGAGCTGGGTTTCCCTGTGGCCCCCCCCCCCCAGCATTTCTTCATGCCCCTCAGGGGGGCACGCCCTCCAGTTTGGGAACCCATGGATTAAAGGATGTGGCTACAGAGGGGAAATGTTTCGGATCTGCAAAGGCCTGAGTACTCAGATGGTGCTCCATCAGTAAAGTAATAATGGAGACTTATAAAGGAAATACTGACATTAGCTATAGCAGAAAATCCAATAAACTAGATGACTGTGATGGGGTGTGGTCACAGAAGATTCCTTGGGGGTGCCTCTCAGTGTGCTGACAAAGCCACTGACACTTTCCTCCTTGCTCTCTGGGGCTTCTCACCACCTTGTCCTGCTGGGCCAGATCTCCTGGTCTCCCCCAGTCAAGGCACAGAGCTGAGATTACCACTCCCACCCCGAAGAGCAATACAGACATGAGTCTTTTCAGATCTGAGGAGACTGTAGTTCTGGGCATAGCTTCTAGGAACCCAACCCAGAAATGTGATCAGAACCCTAAATAAATCACTCAGGAAAGCCCCCTTTAACAATGAAAGAAGGATGTACACACTGATTGCTCCCCCAGGTAACAGTTATGTACACTGGGCTTGATGGTAAATAAAAGTGATTTTATTAAGTGCAAACAGTAGGATTTAAGTGATTGCAAGTGAAAAAAGGCAGAAAAAAACGTGAATTACAAATTTTAAATAACAAAACATGCATAGCTAGTTCTAACATACTAAAGCTTATAACAAACTTAGCCTTGGATCTGGACTTCTAATACTCCTGTCATCTGAAGAAGTGGGTTGCGCCCAAGAAAGCTCATGATATCATCTATATGTTTTGTTAGTCTTTAAGGTGCTACTAGTCTTTTTTTTTTAATGGACTAGTGTTTATGTGGTTTCCTGCCCTCTACCAGATTGTATTGGAACTACACAACTGCATCATAGACATCATATTACCAAATGCACATTCATCTATATTAGGAAAAAATATATTTTGACCACGTGTTAGCTGACAGGTGAGACCTATCCCATGATAAACTCCTAGTGTAGACAAGGCAGTTGAAGTTTTAACATGTATTAGCTGGTCAAGATAAATAGCTTACCAATGCCAGAGGAATTCCTGCCTGTCCATTTAGGGACAAATTCTATCCACTTTGTGTCATCTGAGGGGCACAAAATAGCTGCAACTGAAAGAATCTACTACCTTGTTTTTTTCTCTCATCGATGACTTTCATTTTTTGATGTTTCCTTACCCAAAAGAAGGAAGCTAAAAATAAATACCTTCCACAGTCACCTAATACAGGCACTTTATTTTAAATCAGGAAGGTGGCAAGAAAGCAGCATTACATATATTGTGACCTCAAGTTAATGAGACAGCTAGAGACATTTTCTGTCCTAACTTTACTCCTACACATCATCAAATTTAATGATATTGCACAGGGGACTGTAGCCAGACAGGACAACCCCCCACCCCCCCCCCCCTTGGAGCATACAGGGCACACAGAGCAGTAAAATCAGCATAGTCTTTGAATCCTTGACAGGAGGCCCGGATATGCTAGCTCACATTGACCCTGGATGGCTGTAAACAGAGATACGCCAATTGCTGACCAAAAGGCTGCCAAGGAGTGCCCTTGACTGAAACCTTTATTGATACGAACACACACTTGTCCAGGGGGAGAAATTTCTCGCCCAGTAAAGAATGTCCAGTACTCACAATTTAGTTATTTCTTTTGCAAGTGTAAATCAAGTTGAAACTCCCTTGTAAGAACTGGCGTCACAAAGACGAACCAACACAATTAGGCATCTTAAATAAAAAAGAGGATACGGGCCCCTATGGGTATAAAAATGGGTCCAGCAGCGCATTTACTCTAAGCGTCAATCTACCATCTATCTGCTGGTCGGGTTTGGTGTTTGACCTCCCGAGGTTCTACAGGAACGCCCACCTCGTATTCGTCTTTCCTAGGAATTGAGGGACCGGCCCTGGCTTGACCCGCTGGAGTTGAGAGGCACAGAAGGGGGTAAAAATTGTACCTGGATGTGGTCCTTTGTCGTAAATGTACACATAGATTTAGAGCTCTTTAAAGATTAAGCTGTTACTTGATACCATTATTTCTATTTTCTATCTTTATTTTCTTTGTAACCATTTTTAAAATTTATATTTGCTAGCAGTTAAGAAATAGAGCAATAGCCATTGTAGCAATATGATTTATAAGCTTCTTTAATAAACCTGTAACTGTTTAAGCTTTAACCTGACTCCTTTAGTTGCTGTAACAGAACCAAACACAATTTAAAAGAACTCCAGCCGGTCATAAGGGACAGATACAGGCAGAGCTGGGCATTTGAATCGTGTCGTTTCCAGAGGACAGATCCGTAGGTGCATCTCTCAGCCTTCCTTAGGCTGCCCACTGTGAAGGGATCATGTATCCTAGCAGTCAAAATCTGAGGTGTAATAAGTTCTCCCTGTAAATTCTGGGGCGTCAGCCTGCTGGCTGCCCACTGTGAAGGAACCTGGTCCTAGAGGTTAAAGACACGGACATTAAACTCGAGGCGCCCGTCAGCCTCTCTAGGCTGCCCGCTGCGACAGGACCTTGTGTCCCAGTAGTTGAAGACTTGGGTGTAACACACACACACACGCACACACCCACCCACCCACCCACCCACCACCAACCATCGGCTGACAGGGACAAAGGGTAGGATCTGCCAGTGTTTCATTTAAAGCAAAATGATATGGTCAGCCAGGGACCAGGGAATGAGTTCTGTTCATGTCTGCTGCTGACTGAGGCCATGGGCCAATCACGGAACATCAGTGTCTCAATTTTCTTATTTATAAAATAGAGAATAATATTTATTAGCTAATCTCAGAGAGGTGTTATGAGGAAACATTAATAAATATTTGAAGTGTTATGTAACTACTACTACAGTAATTCCTCATTTAACATTATAGATATGTTTCAGAAAATGATTGTGTTAAGTGGGGTCAATTTTCCCATTGAAAATAATGGAAAAGATGGGGGTTGCGTTTCAAGCGGTGGTGTCTGTTGGGACCGGGACATAAGGTTGGGGGAGAAAGAGGACAGGGTTACAGTAGAGAGAGGAGGTGTTTGGCTCTGTGGAAGGGAAGGGGAGAAGAGGGGAGGGGGATTGGGCTGGGAGTTTGCTCCATGAGGCACTGGCCTGCAAGCAGGGGCAGAGGAGAGGGGGCAAGGTGTCCGGCGAGGGGGAATCAGCGGGGAACGGCGCGGTGAGTGGCAAACCCTCCGCCACTTTGCAGGGAGGCGGGGGAAGCCCCGCGCAGCCACCAGCAATGGGCCAGCTGGGGAAGGTAGTCTGAAGGTTATTAAAATAGAAATGTTAGGGACAGAACACAGTAGATTATATTTTGACATAAAAGGATCCAGTCATTTAAAATAGTTCATAGGGCTAGATAGTGCAATGAAACCTGTCAGCCTTGGATTTGAAATCAAAGCAGTGTTGTCAAAAGTGAATAGGATTGTGTTGTTACAAATACTGAAATTGGTTTTCCTTTGGTGTAGCGGTCTTTACAATGAACTACTTGAGGTGTGTCAGATCCATGTCTTTCAATGGCAGCACTCAAAACAGCAACAATGCCCTCTGATTTTTTTCAAAATTCTTCTTTTAAAAGGTCTGCTCTCTGAACACAGAGAAAGGATATAAAGTTTTTTGCTCTGAAGATAGACATGCCATCCCATTTTCTCACATTCAGGAGCTGCAATAGTCCATAGAACTCAGTAATGGCCTTTTAACAGAACTGTGGAGGTTATGTAGTAAGATGTATTAGCAGTTTATTACATACTCCCCACCATTCCAAGGTAAATTCGTTATTTTAATCTTTCTCTTCTTGCTCTGAATGGATATTTTTTGGGGGTCAACAATTGTATATAATGGTTTTATTGCAAGTGTATTTTTTGTTTAGGCCTTTATACTTGCACTTCAATATAAAAGCACTATGATTGTAGGTCTTTACATTTTTCAAGGTTTCTGAGTGACACAGGTTAATTAAATTTCACAGAAGCTTAAGAAGCTTTCTATAGGCATGGCCCACATGGTTAATGTAGATGACTGTCTTCTGTAGTGTACTTTGGGTGCCCCTCCCAGACTAATTCCCAGAGTAAACAATATCTTTTCATTTCCTAGTTTATGATAAATAATGAGTTCATTGACCTATTTTTCCTGAGTGAAGATTTTCAAAGCCTGCCACCTTTTGTTCCTGAATATCATGAGGAGACCGAAGTGTCATTATGTGTGTCACAGGACGGGAGAAGAAGGCTGTTACGTTATCAGATGACTTACTTACTCACAAATTGAAAACCTGGGAGAAAGATAAATCTAGAAAGTGTTCTAAAGATCCCCAAATCAGGGCTGTAGCAAACAGAGGCGGGAAGTGACCATCCAGTACCAAGACTTATCAAGAAAAACCCTTTTGCGCAATGCCGTTACGCTGATTATTTTCAGGAATTATGGCATTGCGCAAGAGGGTTTTTCTTGCACAAAAAGGGGCAGTGTAGACAGCTCCTTCTGGTGCAAGAGCCTCTTCTGCAAAAATCATGGCTCATTAGGTATGCAAATGTGGCTCGGTGATATTCCACACTTAGCCTCATTTGCATATTTCTCGCACAAGACGTTGCGAGTATAGATATAGCCACTGTTACTCTCTGGGATCTCTCAGAGAAAAAGAAACAGAGCCACCTGTGTAACCATTCTCTATAATATAAATTTGCTGCCCTCCCAAATGTTATTCTTTCAAAAATTTCATGTATCTGGAAGATTGTGTTTTGGTGTGCTGGCCAAATTTCAACTCAGATAATTGCACTCCATTTATGTGAAGTCTTTCTGGAATTTCATTTGGATCCAGTTCATTTCACTTCCTCTCCTAAACTGTTTTGTATTGTTGCTGTGTTCTGTGAAACAATAGAGGTGTTTCACTCCAAAAGTAGTTGCAGTTCAGTGTTAGATAAATTGATTTGTCTATATGTGTATACTTTTCCTCTTCATGGAAATATTTATCTTCCAATGCCTTTGGATGAAAAGAGATAAATAACTGCATCTGTTACATATTATTTAATTACATTATTATTTAATGTTTTGGCACTTCTGCATCCAGCTAGAATCCAGAACTGCAGCAAAATCCACAGGAAAATGTAAAGTAAGTAAGGGTATATCTACACTATAGCACTAATTTTAACTAACTTAATTCGAATTAGTTAATTTGAAATAAGCTAATACAAATTAGTGCATCTAGCCCTAAAAACTAATTTGAATTAGCATGTTCACACTGAGTGGACCCTCAACCGAAGTTAAGGCTGGCCGGAACCAGTGCCGGAAGGGCATCAGGTTAGGACTTAGAGTGTGGAGCTGCTGCCTCAGGCTAGCCGAGGGCTGTGCTTAAAGGGACCCGACCCCCACCTCAGACAGACAGTTCTCAGGGTTCCCCGCTTGCTTGTCTAACTCAATGACGGACAGCAAAGCAGTCCTGTCTTGGAGTGCCCTGAGTGCCCACACTCGGCACATCACAGCACTTGGCCATCAGCCCAGCTGCACTTGCCGCAGGCTGCCATCC